GTCTTTCCTTCTGTAACTCAACGTTACTCATGGTCTCTTTATCCTTCATTATCATTGTGTGAGATAACTCACGTTCTTTAATGACCATCTGTACTCTATCTCTCTCTGCTTGAGCGGCAATTTCTTTGTCTCTAGCCTCTGCTTGAGCGGCAATTTCTTTGTCTCTAGCCTCTGCCTGGGCAGCTAATTCCTGTAGTCTCAAAGCAGCCTCCTTATCTTTCAGTTCAGCTTGGGCAGCTAACTGTTTTTCTAAAGTACAAGCTTCTATTTCTTTAGCCTTCTGCATAGCCTCCAGTTCGAGCTTTTTAAACTCTCTCTCGTCTGCCCGGTCTAGTCTCTCTCTGAGATCTGTATACTTTTTATCGGCCCATTCCAAAGCCTTTTCTCCAGTCAGCCCATGCTGTCTGGCCATTTCAATAAACTCGGCAAGAGATGACATGGTGTATTCGTGTACAATATCAAGCAAACAAATCAGTACAAAATCTAACCAATACCAAGTATACAACTACAACCACAAACTCACTGCACAATCCTATTGGAGAGGGAGAAAATAAAAATCGCGAATATCCGAACTACAGCCGGACCTGTAAATGTAATCTCGAGTTAATCCGAGAACTAAACATAAATTTACAGTGTAATATTCAATAAAGAATATCACAAATCACATCATCACAGTAATACGACAACAATTGTAAAACAATTTGGATGTACACAGTTCGAAAAATATTGGATCAGGAATCCGAAGAATACTTCTTACAATTGTAGATGATGGGTGATGACTGATGTGTGTGCGACAAAAAAAAAATTTTTTTTTTTTTTTTTTCCAAAACACAAAAACAACAATAGGACTAATGAGAAAAGATAGACAAGAATGATAGATGATGCACGGCGCCGATCAACCAACTAGATCGAAATGGAATCTCACGGACTGGAGAACTGACCAGGACACAAACACCAAAATCAAAACAACAAAAACTTATCTGCACTCCAGTCTGGGAAACATGGCCGCCAAAGAACACGTGGATGTTGATGACACACTTGATGATGGCGAGGACGACAGGCCTCGATGACTTCTTGGACTTGCACACCGCAACTTGTAAAACAATCACACTATGTCTATCTGTCTATGTCGTCCTAAATCCCTATCCGTCGTCACGACACAATCCTAACACATACAGTTATTACCTCTAATCACATACAGTCATGTTAAACAACAAACATGTAGACGGACTAACAATAAATTCCCATTTTACCTATCAAAATTATTTACGGAAAAACAAATACCTAACCTTTCCTATCAGCTATTGACTAAGCACGTTGGGTTCCCACAAAATCCACAGTAAGAGCTCCCCACTTTCCTGTCAGAAACCTTAATGTCTAGGGCTCGATTCCATTGGCTCTGCTATAGGCTAATGACAGGAAAACACCGTACAAACACACTCAAGCCAAACACTTGTTGCAACACACACACAATCTTTATTACCAAAGATGTAAACGAAGTGGTGGTACACCTCAGGAGGAGTAGCGCTCCTTATTCAAAACCCAGGCCGCGTCTAACTTTAAAATCGCTTAGAGGCGCCTTTACACGTTTATGAATTAAGCTCTGAGCCTCTACCACTCTCCCGTACAGTGCCAGCTCAACCCGCTATATCTCGATGCCAAAGACGTTATGGCATGCGCCAATGTGTAGGCCTAAGTGCGTCGACAGTGTTAACGCCACCAGCAAAGCATGGTCTGGCTTCTAGTTACAACTATTACTTTACATGAAACTATGAACAGAACACGTTACATCTAATCACTACGCTGGTACCTATCTTCATGTCAAAACAAACGGTCAGTCAAAAAATCCACTCTCGTCCCACGTCCAGTTTCCTAGCAGTCCCCCAAGCAAGCGTTCCTCGTCCGGTCCCAAAATGTGCACACCCGTGCGAAGTCCGCTCATGCTCGTTTCTACGTGTGTATGCACGTATTGAGTGTCACTAAGGGTCGCAGGGTACGATGACAAGATTCATCATCATCATCCTGAACTGTCCCATAGCAGGGCGAACCCTGACAATGATGCTGATGCGATGCTGACCATATCACGGTTACCTGTCAAGAAAGCAAAATATGAGTCGTATGCCTGATGCACTGCTGACATAAAAGGGATCCTTTGTCTCTTGAATTGTTTGGGAATGGAAACAAAGCATAAATATCTATTTTAAAAAACAACATCATACAGCATTTAAAAATAAGAACAGAAGAGAGTTACTAAATTAATCATAACCTATTAAGATAACACAAAGGCTAATTTAATTAAGAAGTTAGAAAATGTATCATCATCATCATAAACCATTTCTGCCTTTTAGCATCATGGGGAGGAATAATTTGCAATGCAGTCCACTCTGGCTGCCACTGGCTTTTGCCATGTTATGAAGGCGTAGAGTATCTTAAATGTTTTTGATTTAAAAAAAACTTAAATAAAATGGATACGGAAGATTAAAAAAAACTATTTATATGGCTAACAGGAGCAGCAGAGATTGCAGCAGCGAAAAAAAACTGCATACAAAGACCTTTACAGAATCATAAGGAAAACAGAACATTAATTTAACAAGCCAAGAATTAGATTATGAGCAACTACAAAGCTGAGTTTCTGGCTCCAGTAATAGCCTGACACACTTTAATCCTTTCGCTGCTATGTACTCCGCAGCCATCATTACCACTGTGCTAAACAGTTTCCCCGCTAATCATCTCCCTTGTGGTGAATGCTTTTCTACCCTCCAAACGCAAAGGCTATATTTTGTACACCTAAACAAATATTTACCCTAGGGAGGTGAGTGGTTGGCGTGAGTATTGACAGGTCAGACGCACTACGGTGACGCTAAGAAGGGTGGTTGGCGCGAGTATTAGCAGGTCAGACGCACTACGGGGACGCCAAGAAACCTCGCCTTTACAAGAAGGAACCACTAGAAACTAGATTTAGTTGGCCGGCTTCACCAAGGAGAGTGAAAGAAAATGTATCCTCTGCTAAGTTACCGTATCTTTGCCTTCACTGCTACCGTGTATGTAGTAGAAACTCCAAGGAGGAGCTAGCACAACAAGAGCCTTCGATTGTCAGAAGGAACATTCTTTAAATCCTTCGGCCCCTTAACCCTTTCCTAAAGAAATATATTGCAAGACAATTTTTATTCTCCCAACCTGTACTTCATCATTGCCTCCACCACAGCAGTAAATAATCATTGCCCCTAAGTGCATCTGAGGCTTTTACCATCCCCTAACCCGTTCCACTGTCATACACACGACTGATGTAGCAGGGAGGGTTTAAATGGAAAGAACTGTTCTAGGAAGGTCTAAGTACTCCACTCAGGGCTGTAATTAAGGGTTACGGTTTGGACTGTTGGTCGTTCCCACCCCAAAATTTGATTGATAAATCTACTGCGACTCCCACTTAATCATAATTAATTGTAGTCACCATGACTGATTTTAAAAAAAATTTGCTTGGGTCATCCGCTGTTGCCAAAAGTGCTAAGAACTAAAAGCCAAAATGTACAATTGAAAAAAAAAAAAAAAAAAAGTCCAGTGGGGTTGAATGCAAGACGTTCCGATTGTTAAGTGTATGTGTTACCAACTACAATAGAATATCACATGATAACAAACAACCAAAAATAATATCAGTATTATACAGTGTAATGGACAGATTCATGCATTGTCTGTTGTATAGTACAGAAGATGATAAAACCTAATCATCATGTCAGTACGTGGCCATATCCTCTTGTTGATCATTGGGAATCCATTTAACATCCAGTCAGTGTTGATGGCTTGGTAAGATGGTCTTGCTCACAGCCAGAAGTACACATGTCCACCAGTCAGCCGTGAAGATAACCCAACTCATTACACATTTTAAAGCAATCCTTACTGTTACTCTTTGAAAGAAACTCCTTTAATTCTTCATCAACTTTAACCAGTTTTCTTGCCATTTTGTATAAATGAAAAAATGTAGATGGACGTAAAACCAGAAAAATATTTGAGGGCAAAAAATACTCAGTTCAGCGACTGTGTTTCTAGAGTAAACAGGATAACACAAAACACATCTAAATACACATTTCAAGGTGTTTAAACGCATGTAAATGGGTCAGTTTTATCTGAAAATGGCTAATGTTTATTGCCCTTTGACCCCTGAGAATGCAGTCCTTAGATATATTTAAGGGAAGTCAAAAACATGTTTTTACTTCCATAGCAGTGAGGGCTAAGAAACCGGAGAACTTCCAAACACGTGCTGTAGCGGTCTGTGGGCAAACGGCAAAATACGCCCATAGCAGCAATAGGGTTAACTGTCCTCTTGACTTTTGGATAATGGTATGAGAGACACAGCAGTGTATTAGCTGCAGCCAACCTTTGATGTTGAGACAACCCACATTTTGTTATTTTTTAAAACTAACACTGGCTGTCAGCATCTGTGGCTCAGGGTTTGTGAATAAGTTTGTAACGCTGAAATACCCAGTTCAGTTGAGCTGTAGGTGTTTGGCAGCAAACCTGTTAGTGTTGATTTTAACAATGTTAGGGGGGGGTCTGACCGTTCAGAGGCAGTGGAAAAACTAACTGACATGGCTTTTTGACAGGAGCACCAGAGTTTGACCATCAGCTGATTAGTGAGTGGTGTTTCCTTCGAAGTCGGAGTGCATATGCTGTGAAAGGCAAGGAACCAGCCATTTGCTTACAAGTAAGCCAAATTGTCAAATGGATGTACACACAAAACACAGTCTCTGGAACAAGACCAAAGTCCAGAAGTAGACGAACAACCACAACTTTCTGTTGGAGTTTACAGCCTGGGAATACTGAGAAGAAGAATATGCAGCTCAACACGTAACATGGGAGAAAAAGATTTTGAGCTCAACACGTAACATGGGAGAAAAAGATTTTGAGCTCAACACGTAACATGGGAGAAAAAGATTTTGAGCTCAACACGTAACATGTTTTAGGAAGTCACTGATTTTGATTGTACATTGGAATGTGTTTTTCAGGTCCTATTCCTATTATATTGAGGTGTCAATGGACGACAAAGATTATGAGAGGGTTATAGATCACACAGGTTACCTCTGCAGATCCTGGCAGAAGCTTCACTTTCCCGCCAGAGTTGTAAGGTCAGTGCACTGTGCAGATTCCGTTCTGTTTCTTCTTTTTTTTTTCTTCTTCTTCTTCTTCTTCTTCTTCTTCTTCTTCTTCTTCTTCTTCTTCTTCTTCTTCTTCTTCTTCTTCTTCTTCTTCTTCTTCTTCTTCTCCTCCTCCTCCTCCTCCTCCTGCTGCTGCTGCTGCTTCTTCTTCTTATTCTTCTTATTCTTATTATTATTATTATTATCATTAATATTATTAATATTAGTTTTAATATATACCAGTAAAAGTTGCAGAACCATCACAGACACAGAACAAAAATTAAACGCATTAGAAAGTAAAAGCCTGAGGAAATTGATGAACATTAAATGTTAGGAATTCAAGAAAGGGGAAGAAATAAGAGAAATGGCTGGACAACTGCTTCTGTCAATCATTCATAAAACAAAGAACAGATTTATGTAGCACATGTTCTGTATTCTGCGGGTGCCTGTCCACATGGGCACTGTTCTAAATCCCCAGTCTTGAATCTCTTGTGCAAAGGCTATTGTGTCCTGTACACAGTCTGAATATAATGGTCAGTTTAGTTATATAAATTAATTTTGTCTTCTTGCAGGTATGTTAAAGTGGTAGGGACACACAACACAGTGAACCGAGTCTTCCACTTAGTCTCGTTTGAATGCTTTTTCACGACACGCCTGTTTCACCTTGACCGGGGCTTAGTTGGTAAGTTTTCATTGGTTGTCTTCTGTTTTTGTTTGTTGAGATTGATGCAGTTTATTTGTTACAGGTGTGCTACTTTTCTTCACTGAAGTAATTGACAGAAATGGAAAGAGGAACTATTAAACTTTTCTAGGACAGATTTACCAGGGGACTTCTTTCCAGATGTTCCGCTATGAGACTTTGAGACGTGCGCCTACGATGCTGAGAGGCGTAGGTCCAATTTTTAACGTGCGATCAGGTACAAAACAACGAGTGCAGCATAAAAGATATTACATTCCACAAGCCAAGTATGGGGAAAACAGTTGGAGATTAATTCCAGTGATGCAACAGGAAACCCATAACAAAAACAGCAGTCAACTCCAATGTGTCCAAATGTACAGGTACAAAGTGTAACACTGGTGTATTACGAACACTATGATCCGAATGAAAAAATGTGCACAACGTGATACTAGTTAAAACTCACCCCAAATACTTCAATCACTTGCTAGTGCACTCACACTCGTCTTGAAACATTAAAATCCATTTTATATCTCATATCCTCCCAACTCCCTACGGGTCAACAGTACGACCTTGAGAGTCCAAACGGTTACTTCGACCTCTTCATCTGCAGTCTGATACTCTAGAACAGGGCAATGTCCCTCCTTGATTCTGCCAGCTTTCCTGCTAAGTGATCCAATAGTTGAACTCTTACGTTCATAGGTTCCTACCTAGAAGCCCAATGAACGCCTGTGATGTGTGGGACTCAAAGAGTTAAAATACTCCTTCTTCCTGCAGAATGCAATAATGTACCAGCTCTCAGCTGAGATTTCTCCGTGGAATTCTGGGGTAGAAGTTCCTCAAGGATCCACCAAGGCCTGACCACACATCTGCCTTCTTGAACCTTTCAACTGCGAATGCTATAGATCCCAATTCCCTAACAGCACTATGTAATGTTTTGATGCATATCCGCATGCGACAGACTTGTTACAGCTGATGTGAATTTTTAAAATTTATTTCAAGTCCATGCCATGTGGCATTAGTAGTCATGTCTATCCACAACCTTCTTCTTGTGTACTTTCAGTCAGCTCTGACACAGATGATCTTTCCTGCCATGATGTCATACTGTCCAGCATCTTTTCTCTCTGTCTGCTTCTGCCTCTCTTCCCCTCCAGCTTTCCGACTGTCCCTATGTACTCCAGTTTTCTTCTTTTGTGATATGACTAAATAATGTAGATTGTCTTTTTTTTGTTGTGGGCAATCAGTTCTCTTCGTGAGTCAGTTTCTTTCAAAAATCTTAATTACTCTTTTTATCTGTCTTGGGTGTTCTCATTCACCTAAAAAACAACCACATCTCCTCCACTTCCACATAATTTTTCACAAGATGTGACAGAAATCCATAATTTCAAAAATCCATGACCATTGCTTGGGAGCGACAGTAGCATAGCACAGTAGCATAGCACAGTAGCATAGCACAGTAGCATAGCACAGTAACATGGTGGTTAGATGCTCGCCTGCTGACCAGGACGGATGCATAGTTTTTTTCATATCTCCCAGGTCAGCCCACTCTAAACTGGGACCAGGTAATATCCTGGGAAATAAAGGCAGCCCTCACTCATCCAGCATATAGGTTAAACAACCATATGCCCTTTGCGACATGGTACCAAGGTGTAGCGGCTAGACACTTGCCTGCGGACCCAGGGTCGCGAGTATGGGTCCTATTGGAGCCGGACCTTCTTCAAAAATGTCCTTGGCCTCCAGGTCGACCCATCCTTGCGTGGGTACCAGGTACAATCCTGGGAAGTAAAGACGGCTAGTGTGAAGCTGAACGCATCACCCACCAAGTGTCGATTGGTCTATAAAATGAAGGCCTAGCCCTGTATGCCTAATACGCCTGAAGGCGTGTAAACTGGTCCTTTACTTTTATTTTACTGTTTGATTTTGATTACAGTGCCTACAGAGAATGTAGCCACAGACAAAAACAGTGCTCTAGTCATCGAAGGAGTGTCAAGAACCCGCAATGCGCTGATAAATGGAAACACTCACAACTATGATTGGGACTCGGGGTATACCTGCCACCAACTTGGCAGTGGGGCCATCTGCATTCAGCTAGCCCAGCCTTATGTGCTGTCAACAATGAGGTCAGGGCCTTTTCTGTGTGTTGAGATATGTTGAACTGTCCCTGTGGTGGTTTTCTCAGTATGTGAAACATAAACAGTGATTGTGTGGTGTATGTCTTTCTTTATCTACTGTGTGGTGTATGTCTTTATCTACTGTGTGATGTTTGTCTTTATCTACTATGTGGTGTTTAAGTGTCTTCATCTACTGTGTGGTGTTTAAGTGTCTTTATCTACTGTGTGGTGTTTGTCTTTATCTACTATGTGATGTTTAAGTGTCTTCATCTACTGTGTGGTGTTTGTCTTTATCTACTATGTGGTGTTTAAGTGTCTTCATCTACTGTGTGGTGTTTAAAGTGTCTCCATCTACTGTGTGGTGTTTGTGTCTTTGTCTACTGTGTGTGTTTGCTTTATCTACTGTGTGGTGTTTGTCTTCATCTACTGTGTGGTGTTTGTCTTCATCTACTGTGTGGTGTTTAAGTGTCTCCATCTACTGTGTGGTGTTTAAGTGTCTTCATCTGCTGTGTGGTGTTTAAGTGTCTTCATCTGCTGTGTGGTGTTTAATTGTCTTCATCTGCTGTGTGGTTTTTAAGTGTCTTCATCTGCTGTGTGGTGTTTACGTGTCTTCATCTGTGGTGTGGTGTTTAAGTGTCTTCATCTACTTTGTGGTGTTTAAGTGTCCTCATCTACTGTGTGGTGTTTAAGTGTCTTCATCTACTGTGTGGTGTTTAAGTGTCTCCATCTGCTGTGTGGTGTTTAAGTGTCTTCATCTGCTGTGTGGTGTTTAAGTGTCTTCATCTGCTGTGTGGTGTTTAAGTGTCTTCATCTGCTGTGTGGTGTTTAAGTGTCTGCATATGCTGTGTGGTGTTTACGTGTCTTCATCTGTGGTTTGGTGTTTACGTGTCTTTATCTGCTGTGTGGTGTTTAAGTGTCTTCATCTGCTGTGTGGTGTTTAAGTGTCTTCATCTGCCGTGTGGTGTTTAAGTGTCTTCATCTGCTGTGTGGTGTTTAAGTGTCTTCATCTCGGGTTGCGGAGAGAAAAAGCCACTTTAGAAATTTATGAAAGATGCGTTAGGAAAAATCGTAACCATCCTAATAGACATCTTGTAGAAAACTGGGAATACAAACAAAGAATAAAGCACAAATCGGTTTTACACTGTGTTAATGAAATTCAGGACAGATACCACCTCCCAGAAAGACGTCAAGGAATTCAAAATGTTGCAAGAAACCTACCACCACATGCTCGCTTTAAAGCTCCAGAAGTCCGAACTAAATTGGTAGGCGAGGAAACCAAACAGTCCGACCCAATCGCTCTTATGAACTCATCACTAAAGACCGTTGATTCTTACCCCCAGGAATGGATACATATCTATACTGATGGATCAGCATTTAAAGCTACCATTAAAGCAGGTTACGGAATTTACATAGGTTATCCCGATGGATCTGTTGAAGAGATTTTTGATGCATGCGGGGAATTCTGTTCAAACTATGAAGCTGAAATAATTGCACTGGAAACAGCAGTATACCACCTAAAGACTGTAATGGATGTTTACCCTTCAAAGGTCCAAAATATTGTCATCTTCACAGATTCAATGTCTGCCCTTCAAGCTCTGGAGGGCAGTGAACGCTGCAGAACTGACATAGCCAAGATAATCATGGATGCTGATCAGCTTATTACCTCATACAACATCAGAATAGTGATGCAGTGGATTCCAGGTCACTCCGGCACACCAGGTAATGACAGAGCTGACAGATTGGCAAAGAAAGGAGCAACACAAGAACAACCACCTACAGCGACAACCCTCCAGACAGCAAAAACACTGATAAGAGCTATAAACAAAGAGACTTGGTTGAATAGATGGGCCATGGGAGACACTGGAAGAGAGGTGTATAGACATATGTCTGGCCCTGATCCTAATGACAGCATTAACCATCTAACAAGAAGGGACCAGGCCACCATCTTCAGACTTAGAACGCAACATACTCCACTCAATGGACACCTAAACAGAATACAGCCACAACACTCCCCAGAGTGCCAGCTATGTAACAACCCCTACGAAACTGTTGAACACCATCTCTTTGAGTGCCCAAAACTCAGTGAGACAAGAAGAACGCTACTCCCTCCGAGACCAGACAAGTGGAACACCTTGTACGGAGGAAAAGAACAGCTTGTGAAAACATGCAAATTCCACTACATGGCATTGGGCCAAAGGGCGAAAGCTCATGCGCCGCTGGATCGATAACAACAACAACAACAAGTGTCTTCATCTACTGTGTGGTGTTTGTCTTTATCTACTATGTGGTGTTTAAGTGTCTTCATCTACTGTGTGGTGTTTGTCTTTATCTACTATGTGGTGTTTAAGTGTCTTCATCTACAGTGTGGTGTTTAAAGTGTCTCCATCTACTGTGTGGTGTTTGTGTCTTTGTCTACTGTGTGTGTTTGCTTTATCTACTGTGTGGTGTTTGTCTTCATCTACGTGTGGTGTTTAAGTGTCTTCATCTGCTGTGTGGTGTTTAAGTGTCTTCATCTGCTGTGTGGTGTTTAAGTGTCTTCATCTGCTGTGTGGTTTTTAAGTGTCTTCATCTGCTGTGTGGTGTTTACGTGTCTTCATCTGTGGTGTGGTGTTTAAGTGTCTTCATCTACTTTGTGGTGTTTAAGTGTCCTCATCTACTGTGTGGTGTTTAAGTGTCTTCATCTACTGTGTGGTGTTTAAGTGTCTTCATCTGCTGTGTGGTGTTTAAGTGTCTTCATCTGCGGTGTGGTGTTTAAGTGTCTTCATTTACTGTGTGGTGTTTAAGTGTCTTCATCTGCGGTGTGGTGTTCAAGTGTCTTCATCTACTGTGTGGTGTTTAAGTGTCTTCATCTACTGTGTGGTGTTTAAGTGTCTTCATCTACTGTGTGGTGTTTAAGTGTCTTCATCTGCTGTGTGGTGTTTAAGTGTTTTCATCTACTGTGTGGTGTTTAAGTTTCTTTATCTGCGGTGTGGTGTTTAAGTGTCTTCATCTACTGTGTGGTGTTTAAGTGTCTTCATCTGCTGTGATTTGTTTGTCTTCATCTGGTAATGTTGTGTAGTGTTTAGCATTCTCTCATTAACATTGTGTATTGTTTAGTGTTCTCCTATCATTATATAATGTTTAGTATTCTTATTTACCAAAATGTTTAGTGTCCTTATTGACCTAAATTTTTTAGTGTCGTATCTATCATTATTGCTTAGAATTTTCTGTCATTGTTTAGCCGGATTCAGTAGTGTCTGCTATCCTTGTCTGCATGTATTGTTTAGTGTTCTAGACCCCCAGCAACATTATGTTGTGTTTACCCTTATTATCTGCCACCAGCGTTTAGTGTCCTTTTCTGTCAGCATTGTTAGTGTTGAGCATTCTGGCACCAACTCTATGTAGTGTTGTGACCTCATCTGCTAACATTGTATAGTGTTAATTTTGTCCTTATCTATCAGTAATGTTGTTTGTTTGTTTGTTTGCGTTCACCGGCTGTAAATCCTTGCAGAAAGACCTGGTTGTTCATCCATTTCTGGGCTTTGGCTTTGTTCCAGGACCTGAGTTTTGCTTGTGGATCCATTTTACAGTTTTTGATTTTTTTAACGCAAACTTTTGGTTCCTTGCCTCTCGGGCAGATGCACTCTGACTTTGAAGGAAGCCCCTAGTTGGTCAACTTTACGACATGCTTGTTGGGGAGGCAGTGGGTCTATTCTTGTTTTCCCTACAGTGGGACTCCGGAACCCACATGGGTATCTACCATTAAATTTGAATATCCTAATTTTCCATTGTGTTGTGCTTTCTGTTTTCAATGCCAACATTATGTCGCCTAGAAAGCTGTAAAGTTGCAAACAACACAATAATTGATCTTCTGGAAACACAGAAAAGATTCTGCAAAAACAGTAATAAATGTATTTTTTAAATGTCTGTGCTTAAATAATACTGTGTTGATTCACGTGTGTGCATCAAACAGATTACTACTGTGGGACTGCGATGACAGAAGCTACAACTTTTACATTGAAGTCTCCACAGATCAGCAGAAGTGGGTTCTCGTTGTTGACAGACGACAGGAATCTTGCAAGTAAGTTTTGTATATGGGTATCACAGTATGAAAGCTATGCTGATTTTGTGACATTTTTCCTGTTTAGTTACCAACACCAAGATCAAAATATTTAAAACATTGATAAGTCCAGTCATTGTATATGGCTCTCAAACCTCGGTTATAACACTTTCATCTGAAAACAGGGAAAGGTGCCAGGTGATGAAGTGCTAATATGTTGTGACTGACAGTTTCCATGTTGTAAGATAAAGCAATACTGATCACTGCATGCAGTGGACTGTGTCACTGTTACAGTCAGTTCATTTTTGTCACACTCTGAGCTGATTTTGGATTAGTCTTTGTAACATAAAACCAGTGTGAGTTCAGGTTTGTCTGACAGTGTCGGGGTTGGCTAGCTCTTCCTTGGAAGGGTGGAAAGGGAGAATTAGTGGCCATCCATTGACCCGTAGAACACTCATGCCATCCCCACCTTCAAGCGGTGCACACTGGAAAACGGAGGCCACGAGGTCTCTGACCAACGGGGCTCTGGCTCGTCAGGTGGGATGGGATCCATCTGGTTAAATACTCATATAAACTGTGACAGGCCTAGCAAGCCAGCATGGGATTAAATCTTGCTCAAAGAAACAAGAGGAAGAGAAAGAAGACTGATACTTACATATAACTACCACTTTCTACTAAAGAACAGAACAGCCAATCAAGATATGCGTAGAAAACCAACTCAAGTTAGCAGAAGACTTCAAGTATCTAGGAAGCATAAAAGAATCCAATGGAAAAATGAAAGCAGAGATTTTTTTTTAAAAACAGCTGCAGTAAAGAAAAGAAAATCATTAGACAGATGTCACTGATTTTTCAGAACAAACATCAGATAATTGATTTTATTTTTTTTTAACCAACATATCAGTGCCAAACATTGATAAATAATAATAAAAAGAAATAAATCAACACAACATAAATAACATATCTACGATGAGTCCTAAAGGTGAGCAGAAGAGACAAGATTAGAAATGATGATATCAGAAAACAAGTTGGGACAGAACCAGTGCTCACATTAAGAGACAACAGATCAAATGATTCAGACATGTGTCAAGACGACTGCAAGATAGTGCACCATAGAGGGCCCTGTCACTTATATACTGTGGAAGCAGAGCCAGAGGGTGGCCATGCAAGCTATGGATAGATGGAATATCTGATACAGTGAATACAGCAACTATGTAACACATACCAATGCTTGTACCTGATGCCTCTTCAGAACCTGATGTTGAAAGGCAGGACATGACTAGAGACGAAGAAGAAGAATCATTAAAATAATTCATTCAGTCATAATATAAATGTGACATTGCTATTTGTTCACATTTCAGGTCCTGGCAGACTTTTGCATTTGATCCCCTTCCTGTGACCTTTATTCGTATTGTGGGCACACACAATACAGCCAATGAAGTAAGTTTACTAAATAAGACTCTTTAATGTGTGTGATTATGATTTTTTTTTATTTTTTTTAGCGTGGTGTAGGACGGGTAGAGCTTGAACCTGTGGATTTAGGGCCACATGGCTAGTGCAGTCGCCACAAATTATGCAGGGTTACTTTGGCCCCGATAGAAAAACCTCCATAACCTCACTGAGGATTGGAACACAGCCCCTGCCCCCCGAGATCCCAGCATCCCTTGGTCAGCCACACAGACTAAGTTGACTAAAAATTATCGGTTAACCTGTTTCTGTTTGTCAGCCATCTGTATTTATATATTAGACAGAACCAGCTTTATGGTAATGTTAAGTCATTGTTATGGAGCCCTGGTGATTTGTTTTACTTTTACACTCACCCTTAACCCATTGGAAATGACTGGGCCGATCTGTCGGCCAAACAGCAAAATGGCTAAAAATTGGCCAATCCGTCAACCCGATAATACAAGCCTTGAGATTGGCTGACAGGTTTTCATACCAGCCAGTCAGATTGCTTCTGGCATTTCTTGTACATGTGGACTGTTCAGTGGCAGTTTTCATGCAAGTTTGCTGTATTTTGTAATTTTACAAGTTTTATTTTTGGGTGTCACCTGTACCCAACAATGGTAAAAGGACTTTTGCATCTTTAACAACCAAAACATAGCAAGTCGTCAGTTTTGTTACTGTGTTACCTAGTCGGTTTTGTTACTGTGTTACTTAGTTATTGTGCTAATGTGTTACTAGTCAATTTTGTTACTGTTACCTAATCAGATATGTTACGATTACCTTGTCAGTTGTGTTACTGTGTCACCTAATCAATCTTGTTACTCTGTTGCCTAGTTAGTTTTGTTACTGTGTCACCTAGTCATTTAATTTGTTACTGTATTACTACTAAGTGGACAAGTTAAATTATTGCATAAGTGAGTCAGCGGACACTTTGGGTTATGGTGTAACTGAGTGCAAGGAAACTTTGGGTTGTGGTGTAACTGAGTGCAAGGAAACTTTGGGTTGTGGAGTAACTGAGTGAAAGGAAACATTGGGTTGTGGTGTAACTGAGTGCAAGGAAACTTTGGGTTATGGTGTAACTGAGTGCAAGGAAACTTTGGGTTGTGGTGTAACTGAGTGCAAGGAAACTTTGGGTTATGGTGTAACTGAGTGCAAGGAAACTTTGGGTTGTGGTGTAACTGAGTGCAAGGAAACTTTGGGTTGTGGTGTAACTGAGTGCAAGGAAACTTTGGGTTGTGGTGTAACTGAGTGCAAGGAAACTTTGGGTTATGGTGTAACTGAGTGCAAGGAAACTTTGGGTTATGGTATAACTGAGTGGACAGTTTAAATTATGCTGTTATTTTGTAGATATTTAGATTATTAATAGATCTTTCAGGCCCTGGTATCACGTAACAGATAAAATCAACCAGAGCAGCTATTTTATTTTTTTGGTTTTATATTTTCTTTAGACGTGCTAAATTCTTTATCATCTGCTCATTTGTTTGTACAGATAGTTTATGACTTGCATGTATTATGTTCACAGGTGTTTCACTGCGTCCATTTTGAAAGTCCTGCAGACACTTCTGTAGGCAGCCTTATCAACAGTGTGGCTACAGTCAGTGTAACCAGCGGCCCTCCAAACAGCCCACGGCCAGCCCAGGCACAGCAAGGACCTGCTTACCCACTGATTACCGTGGACAGGGGTCCATCTCTTAGCCGCAGCAGCAGCAGCAGCACCAGCAGTCGCAGTGAGAGCCATCAGAGTGTGGCCACAGCCACCCGTGTACATTTCCCACAGTACTACGGCCCACCACCACCACCTCCTTCAGCACAGCAACAGCAGCAACCCTTACTTCCTCAGCCACCCCCACCACAAGGCCTTCCCAGTCTGCATCTGGGACACTACGCTGGTCACATGTTGCAGCAGCAGGATGTGCCAGAAGCAGATAGGATGGACATCCATTGAAGTCAGCGAGATAGCCCGCCTGCTTGTCCCCTCTGTCTTTGTTCTCTTTCTTCTTCTTTTTTGTTCTCCCTGCCCCTGGTTTTCACATGAGAAGGCAGGCTGTAGGCCTTTATGAAGTTTGTGGTGTGTTGCTAGTCCCTCCACTGATCCATGCCTGCAGCACATATTCACTGTTTTATGGTGCCTGTTTACATGAACAGAGATTTGAGTCATTCTGGAATTTCTTTTGTTTCATGTGGCAGCGGAATCTGTTGTCCAGTCTGATATCTAAATACAGTGGTCTGTTGATTGGTACCTGGGGATTGAGTTCTGGATGGAAATGTTCCACTCAGTTCTGATAAATGCTGCTTTTTACAAACACAAATAATCTCAAGATTAAACAAAACAGTTCACATTAAATAGTTGAATTGAGTTAAGAACTGGCATTGCAGCTTTTGGGGCATTCCTATAAGCGCACCATCCTCAACTTCAGCAGCTAGTATAGAGTTCCATTTCTGATGGTACCAGAAGCAGTAGTAACTGGTCACTTCCTGCTGTACAAATCTTCTCAGACTATGATGAATCTGTAAGTGCTTCTGCACTGTTCACTCGCTGCCACAGGACTTTGGCTATATGTCCCATCAATTTGTTAAGTCATTCTCAGTATTGAATGAATGTCTGCCCAATGCCCAACTCATTTGAAGAAGAAAATAATGATAGAAGGGTCCTGTTGACATTTTCATTCCCAGGATTAGAGTAACTTCCCTTGCCATTCATGCCTCCTTAGGTCGCTGGACCTCTCCTGTCTATAAAGCGTATTCACAATATCTAAGCCACAGACGCCGACACAAACAATAAGCCAGATTTATAAAATGGATTTGCATGCAAAACGCAGGTTTTGGAACCAAAGTAAAGTCTGGATGTGGGCGAACAGCCAGAACTTTCTGCCGGTGCTTACAGCTGGTGAACACGAAGAAGTAGAAGATCATCTTTAAGAAAATCAATGTTTTCACTATAAATAGTAATTCAAAACAATGAAAGGTTTTGGGTTCAGAACCTCTTCAAGGCAGATTTTTTTTTTTCAAAATTGGCCATTGCTGTCATTTTGACCCAGCCGAAAATGCGAACACGTAATTTTCTGGGAAGCAAAGGTGGCAGGCATGATGTTGACCATATCACCAACTGAGAATTATACCTTGGTTATGAAAACGTTTTTTTCTTTCCTGAAAACTCATGTGATTTGTACATCCATTATCATGGAGATGCACCATATACTAATGTGTATATAATGTCTGTGTATTCCTTTCTATGTGTGTGCATGCCTTTTTGTTCCCCAGTTATTTTAACATGATTATTATATACAGTTCAAGCCATCATATGGTATTAGATGCTAGTTCAACTTCCGTTTTCAAAATGGCGGATAGCAGCAGTGTTTATTTTTGCTGTCTGTCATTTCTCTCGGACTGTTCTGTTTCCTAATCATGGGCTGCCATTTTGTGCGCATTTCCAATGCAGGATACTATGTGTTTCTCGGGGGAGCAGCGTGTAATGTGATTGTGCGATATCGGAGCAGGATAATGACTGATAGTTTTGGCAGCCTCGAGCACGCTGCCTTTGCAGTGTTTGATCGCGGCGGTCCATTTGGGAAGACAGAATCTCGTCAGCAGGGGACTGCAACTGTCTAGGGAGCAAACTCGATAAAAGCTGTCCCCAGAAACGGAATGTGTCAACCATATATTTGGTGGGGAGGAATCGACACATACGGTTAACTCAATCTGGCTATGGCCAGATGCTAGTTGAGCACAGACCAGCACTAGTACAGTATTTTAATTCTCGCAGAAGCTGCGGCATTCATATGCCTGTACTGAGATTCTGTAGCCCGACCTGGTGAAGCACATCTATGCCGCCTTGATGGTCAAGCTAGAAGACATAACCAACTTTGTTACATTACATAAATTGTGATTGCATATAAGATTCAGCAGTGTAGTAAAGGTGCTTCAGTGTGAAAAATTTGCTGCTCAAAGATCATCTTCTGTGAAATGATGGCTACATATTTGGGCACATGCACGAACCCGCACTCTCCCCATCCCTTCCTTGTATATTATACAGTAATCTTATTTATATAACTAGTTGGCCACTTCCTTACCAGACATTAAAAATGGTTTAGAAAAGTGAACACAAATCTGTACATTATTCTCATTATGTACACTTGTTTTGTTTTTTCAGAGATGTTTTTTTTAATGATGTGAAATATTCATGATTTATCAGTAAATGAAGTAGTGAGACAATTGTAAGCATGTAATAATGATATATATATAAACATGATATAAAATAAATATGATATATATATATATATATATATATATATATATATATATATATATATATATATATATATATATATATATATATATATATATTTTTATATATATATATATATATATATATATATATATATATATATATATATATAATATATATTTTATATATCATGTTTATATATATCATTATTACATGCTTACAATTGTCTCACTACTTCATTTACCAATAAATCATGAATATTTTATGTGTGTATATATTTATATATATATATATATATATATATATATGATTTCTTTGGTGTGTGTTTTTTTAAAGCACCATCATTGTTGAGATCCATACCATAATTTCAACATGTTTCTTCACCTTTCTGAGATATAGCACTAGTATTGTTGCATTCTAATGACATGCCAGAACCATTTGATCTTTCCCATTCATCGGCTAACAACTCTGGCAGAAAGTTCCGTTGTTTGTCCACTTCTGGACTTTAGTCTTGGTCCGGAACTTCAGTTTTATGTGCACATCCATTTAACATATCTGGCTTTTTTTTTCTCTATGCAGACTGTTGGTTCTTACCACTCAGGCAGATGCACTCCATCTTCAGATGAAACACCCCAATTGTCACCTTTTATGACATACTTGGGGCCTGGACCCCGCACGAGGATTTGATCTTTCATTTGGCGGCTTTCCTCTGGCACAGGACTATATGATACACCAGGCTGGTGTATCCATTGCAGGGCCAACATTATAAGTTATTTGGTGGTTGAATGAGTTATATGGAATTTGTCCTGTTGGTCTGCCATACAGATTGAGATTTTGTAATCTCAGAGTATCTAACCTTCAGGTATTGGTTTACTCAATGGATCAGCATCATGGCACATGGGTGTAACCCATAAGTGTTCCGTTCTACTTCTGACTCAAGTGCAAGTCTGAAGAATCTCAGTACAGTGCACGAACTCCGTTGCACTGGCGAGGATCCTGACATACTTTAGGTAGATTTTTAACTCCGATTTGTGCCCGGACAGCGCCGTTAGGCTAATCTTTTTTATTTTCAACTACCAATATGTTTTTACGTGCTCAACAATACACATGGGCATCCGATCTTACTACTCAGAGACCAAGGGAAATTATTAGAAGTCCACATGAAAAAATCCCAGACTTCACCAGGATTTGAACCCGAGACTCCAGCACTCGAGACGGATGCTATACCTCGATACCACTCAGCCCTTTCTTCTGGTAGCAGCCTGAAGAGGGAAAATGATACGAATATTGAAGACACCCCATGTCACAAGCATTTTTCTGATATGTGTGACATTTTTTTAAAATATATTTCTTAATCGAGTCCTAGTTTGGCACTGTTAGCATAGAGCGTAAAATTGTGACAACAGAGATGAAATACCTTAGAAACGCTGGAGGAGTTTCAAGTAAAGACAATACGAAATCAGACGAATGCTAGGAATAAAGCCAGTCTTACAAGTAATCAAAGAACAACAAATAAAGTGGTTTTGACACCTAACAAGAATGCCCTGGTACCGTCTGCCACAGCGAGCCACACTAAAACGTTACAAGAGCGAGTGGAAGACTTCTAAAAATATGGCTAAATTTTGCTCTTGACAGAGCTCATCAACAACAAGGTGGAAGAGAAGAAGCATAGAGCCTAGCTTTTCAACTAAGTTGACTCGGGGACCACAGTGGTGAGAATGAGGATGGCCAGAGGCCCTAGTGAAGAAAGATCATTAATACAATACGTTCAGCAATGATCATTGGGCCACTTGCTAGCCTTCTGAAGGCTGGATTCGGCATAAAGACCGCCATTAGAATAGCTCTGCCATAGATTCTGTGTGAGCGTGTTACTTATAATTTTGAAATTAAGAATCAAGATCACAGCACTCGGGGACACTCCCAGAAGTGCTCAGTCCCCATCTTCAGCAGCAAGTGAAAAGTTCCGATTCCGATGGTACCAGTAACCGTCTGATTGTATATCCGTCTCATCCTTCCCCTGAGTGTTGAGGGACGGCCAGATCCCCTAGTAACTCCTCACAGCACCATTCTCCTTAGACTGTAATGATCTATCTGTGCCTCCGCACTGTACACTCACTCCCAAAGGATCTATTGCTTTGCCAGCATTGTTATGTTGGTAATAATGCTATGTAAAATGATGATATGCTTTCATTACTTGATATCTGCTGAAGGAGACATCATCTGTGGGTTTTCCCTGGGCTGTAATGTATGTTAATTAATTAAATTATTTGTCTTTGTATAGTTAAATGCCGTTATTATCAGATTTAGTTTTGCTACAACTGTGTGAAAATTAGCTCATTCGCACTAAGAAAATCATCTGATTTGGACTGTTTATTTTTATGTGACCGAAATTATCTGTTTTTATAGCATATGTGATGTCTGGAGTAGCTAGTAAACATCTGGTGATTTTATTTACTATAGATCAGTGGTTCTCAACCTGTAAGTGGCGACCACTTTGAGGGTCAGACAACATTTTGGACTGTTTGAAAACACATCTTCACTGAAGTTATAAAGTAGCCATGAAAATAATGTTATGGTTAGGGGATCACCACAACACGAGTAACTTATTGAAGGGTCGTGGCTTTAGGAAGGTTGAGAACCTCTGCTGTAGATAGTCCAGATGAGCAAACTTATGACTCCTTCGGTTTAAACTGGTATCAGTGCATGATGCCTACCTTGGT